AGTACCTGACTAGTTTAATATTTTATTTTAGTATTTACTAAATTTTTTATTTTTTTTTAAATATAATAGATTATCGATTTTCAAACCACATTAGTTTTTTATTCTTTATAGGTCATTGATTAAGTTGCATTTTGTTGTCGTTGGAGCATCGTCGTTGGTACAAGCGATTTATTTTATTTAGTTTATTTTATTTATTTATTTATTTATTTATTTTTTGAAATATTATAAAAATATAGAGCTAATATAAGGTTCCGATTTCAGTTCTCGTGAAGTTTTTGGGGGTCCTGACTATTTTTACTTAGAGTACCCGAATCTGTTTGCTTAGTACATTTTTGAGATATAGCATAAGGTGTTATATAACATGGTGTTATAAATACAATTTTCCTTACAGTATCTTTACACAATTTAAGTCATTAAATTTGTTAAATTTTTAATGAATAAATAGAAATTTCATTTTTAATTAAATTCGCGAAAATTTAAAATTATTATTATAATTACCTATTATTCTATCTCATTCGTAATGATTTTATACGGAAAAAAAATTAATTATCAATGCAATATAAGATTCAAGTTGTAGCATTTAGCTTTACGTAATGTCTCTCATTTGGGTTTACTTTATTGCACTATATATGGTGAATAAATATAAAGATCATTTATTAATCGATGATTTGATAATTCGTTAAAATACAGTATAGGTGTAAAACACCATAAGTGTGCTTTAGTAAAGTGGTTTATAAATACAATATATATATATTTTAATATTAAAAAGCTGAAACTGTTATGGGTATCAAAAATTTACAACACTATTTCAAAAACCCCATGGCACGGCTTAAAAAAATCCAGAGCTAAATATCCTTCACGTTCAAACATTTTCATCACATCACTTTCGAAAATTTTAATTATTTTCATTCATAAAAATTCTGATCTGTCCAACTATTCCTTTTACCTCTTTCAATTCTCCAATTATATCAGATTTTACTTCTCTCAATTCATTCTTTATGAAATCCGCATTAACATCGTCCATTGCTGCTCGATGTAATTGTTGTCTCCATTCCAGAATGGAATCTAAATGACTTTCATAGTATATTAAATGAGGAAACCATTCTGCGTGATAACGTTGTGAAGGGGTAAAGGAATATAATTCGATTTCGGTGATTAACTGGGCTCGGTGGCGTTGCCAAGCCGGACGACCATTTTTGAGAGACCCACTGAATACTTCAATAATTAAACCTAGAAAAAAAAGAAAAAATTATTATGTGAAATTTGTACAAAAAAAATTCTAAAACTTTAACTTCTCATTAGATTACCAATAAGTACGTTTAACAACACAATCACAGCTATAAAGTCTGTTAATTAAAGATGAAGCGTCTTAAATTAGCACTCTCCAAAAAAAAACCAATATAAGTGGCAATTATAAATAATGCAACACGTGGTAATTTTTTATTATAGAATGAAAATTTCAATAGTTACTATGTTTTATATAAAAATTATCACGTGCTGCATTATTCATGATTCTGTACGTATAGCGGATTTTTCAATAAACTTACTAAACAAGAAAATCATAAAAAGCAATGCCCATTCGGGGTCAAAAACAGTTATACTTTCCCATCCAACACCTAGAAATTTATATGTAGAAAACATTGCCCAAGGAAAAGTTGACCACCACAAATTTATTGGTTGACTTAGATCTAAATGACCAATTTCTTGACCAGTTGTTGAGTTTGTTATTATGCCAGAAAAATGGGGGATCGTTATATCTTGATTATTTCGAATAAGTACAAACAATGCATTTGCAAAGCTCCGGTTGTGGACAAGAGATTAATTACTTTATGAAATTATGAATTTTTAATTTACGAATATAAGAAATCAGAATTTTATAATAAAACCACTTACAACAACCATGAATGTCAAAGTTAAAAAAAAGTTCAAAATCATGTTGGAATTCCTTTTTATGATTTCTAAAATTATAGAAATGAACATTCCTGGACCAGCGAATGCACGTGATAGAAGAAGCTAAAAAAAAAACAAAAATTGTCAGTTTAATGAAAAAGTTCTATGGTGCAGAATACAGTATCTAGTCGCATCAAAAATAATTGCTTGCAATAAAAGTTTAATAACTTTTTTAAAATAATTTTTATAATAAGATTTTTTAAAATCTAAAGAATATAAAGAATATAAAGAATATATATAGAGAGAGTGTGTTTTTTTTTAAAAAAAATAGGTTATTTTAAAGTTATTAATACTATGGTTTTAAAAATTTCAGCATTATTAGAAAATAATTATAAAAAACTTAACCAATCATCTTCATTTTTATAAGTAATGATTAAATTTCAGATATCCTGCATCATAGAATTTCATTTTTAAAAAAAAAATCAATACAAACCATATTCATCCAGACAACTAAAATTGCATAACTTTTTAATGAATCATGTGGTTCATTTTTACTAATTGCTAATGAACAAGTAACTAATGGCAAACTAGAACTTGCCAAATCTAAATAATTAAATATGCTTCTCCAATAGTTTTTCCATCGGCCCATCATTTGGCGAATTTCTTGAATTAAAAATAATATTGAAAAGGCTATCACAATGCCAAATAAAAATATTTTTAAATTTTCATGATCGTCAGGTACTAATATAGGGTAGATACTGACAGTTACACAGAATAGAAACGCGTATATTAGATAGGCATAGAACATTAATAAGAATCTCTTGCGTGCATATTTTCCCCTGTTATTATATTTAAAAAATATAAAATAAGAAATTGAAAATAGAATGTTTAATGTAACATTATGTGAATTTACCATTTAAATTTAATAATAGCCTCCATAGCAACTTCACTAAACATATCCACTCGCCCATGTAAAGCCGCCTCGGCAAACGGGCTTAATCTCTTTGGCGAAACATATGTTTCCCAAAATTTTTGTACACGTTCTCGAAAAGGGGCATTATCTTTAAGTTTTGGAGGTGCAGGATAAATACAAAAATCTGGCAATGGAACAACACAAAGTCTTGCTGGATAAGAAGTTGTCTGTGCAATGTTAGAATTTGTGGAATATTTGTTACCAAATGAAAATTTGGAAATTATTCGTTTTAACATTGATTGACGAATTGGTTCTTTTGGTAAATGTAATTTTTGAGAGACAGCTTTCAATCCTTGATGAAAACTTCTTTCCTCGATCTTTGATGGGTCTCCTAAATCAGTTAGTAAAGTTCGAGTGGGAGTCTCCAATGAAGTTGTAAAATAACTCCATTCTTTCATTATTTTAATACATTTATCTGGATAATATTGATATAAATCTAATAATACCGCACTGATCGTCCATGCAAATCCGGGCTGCTGAATTTTCAAAGTATTTGATGACGCTTTTGATTTACTATGCGACGGCATATTACGATCACGTACGTGACGTATAATATAAGAAATCAAGTGATCAATAAGATCAGATTTTCGAAACTTAATCAACAAAGCTAAAACACTTTCAGTTCGTTCTTCATTGTGAAATAATGGAATATAATGTTCTTTAATTAAAATTTCATCAACTATGTTATCCCATTTAAACAATATAAAGTCTTCCATGGGATATACGTATTGATCATGACCTAAAGATATTTTGTTAAATGACGAAGGGAATTTATCTATTGAATTTAGGATTAATTTTTTTAATTGAGCATAAATATCCCAATGTGAGACATATGATAAATCTTCATTAAGAAATAGACGTATAAAGTGTATGGACGCGCACGCATCAATGAAAATCTGATACGTAATCTTATCATTTGTCGCAGGAAGTGGAAGAATTATTGTTTCAGAATTTGTAAGTTGTATTTTAAGAAGATAAGATGGTTCGTCATTATCATCATTTTCGTCATTTTCGTCTTGCAGAGTTTTCAGAGTCTCCAAAGATAAAGAATTGATACCAGCATTTTTATAAAATGGAACCGTCCACATGTATTGTAATTCAACTCTCAACAATGAACCTTTTGGTTTCGTTTTGTATATCTGAATACTATTGTATCCTGCCAATAAAATTCGATTTCCATCTTTATCCAACCATTTCATAAATAGATCGGCTGTCCCCCACTTCCTCCAAGGTTCAAATTTAAATTTACAAATCATTTTTTCTTTTTTATGAATACAAATCGAACATATAGAGTTTCCGGCGAAATTTGGTTCGATCGATGAAACTAATTTTAATTTTTTGTTTGGAAGAAATTGTTCTTTTCCAAGTAATAATTCTTCGGTGTTCATTTGATCTTCTTTATAATTATTATTAGGAAATAAAGGGTATTTGACAATTTTATTTCCAATCGCATGGACAAATTGATCATCGAGAAAAAGGAGAGGTAAATCCATATCAAGATTCGGATGATTTTCTTCTTTAATCAATATTCCACTCCAACAATCCCATAATTGAACTTTAACTTTACCACTATCCGTTGAACAGACAACAATTTGATCATGTTTGCTCAAAAATGCAATAAAGAATACAGTATTTGGAGTGCTTATTTCTGTTCTTAAGCCTGATGGTGTATGAAATATCACAGTGTTTACTGTTCCAGGCTTATGAGAAAATCTAATATTTTAAAAAAATATATAGGTTTTTTTTTAATTTTATAATTTTAATAA